ACCAAAAGCATTCTTGGCTTCAGCGTATTGATCAGCCACATGTTTATTCCACCCTGGCTTGACGTTGTGTCTCTTCCTAGAGTAGGTATAGCACGGTCTACTGGCCTCCCATACAGCTCCCACAATACAATCATACATGTTACAGAGGTCTTCACGGTGAGAACTTTCATTACAACCCACATCAACACACATAGTTGCCACTTTGGGTAGATATACATCACTCAATAGGACATCAGTTCTCCCATAGTACAATAGCCTATCCTAATTTGTGAGCTTGGACCAATCCACTTTAGTGGTACAAGCATTTTTAACCTCCTGGGACATCTCAGGGAGACTATCATAATCTAGTGACATTCTCTCTGTGTATGAGACATTGATGCCTCATACACAATCTCAATTGATCTTACAATGTCATGGGCATTAGCAGTGCTTATGCAATGGTCAAGCCATAAAGTTGTATGCCAGGCCTTGCTTATATATGAATAGCTATCTGTAGGCAGAAGTATTTGGCTTGTTAATATAAGATTGTTATCATCACAAAACTGTAGCATATGCTTATCTGATATGTCAGCATTCATATCACCCACTACATAAACACTGGTGGAATGATTATCAACAATAAAAGAATGTATAAAAGCAAGTCTGTTCAGGTATTCATGTTCATTATGCTGTGACTCATATGGTGTATATACATTGAGAATGCTAAACTCCTTGTTATTCATTTTGATCTGTACAGCAATACACCAGTCAACTTCAAGCCTGATGACATTAATGACAGCGTCCAGCTTTTTGTGCCACAGGATAGCCACGCCCCCTGCTATCCTTCCTCTCACTATTCCCAGAGATAGGTCCGTAGTGGACTCACCAGCCCCGTGAAAATTGTCATTAAGAGAGTTCAACTTTCCCAAGTCCTGCTTTGGTAAGAAAGTTTCTTGCAAGCATAAAATGTCACATTTTTGTAGCAAGTTGTCCACCACTACACGTCGGATCCTATCAGCAGCGCTGTTGCCCAGGCGCAGCCCGCGACAGTTAAATGATCCAACCCGCATAACGTTTAGCTAAGCAGCTCAGCCGTAGCCCCATTCAGTACCCTCGCACCAGCAAAAGGTCTAGCTCTGCTAGCCCCTATCACCTCCGCTTAACCTGGTTCATAGTATCGCCTCACAACTGAGCCTTCAGGCCAGAGTTCTGGGTTAAACATCTCCGCAACTTCATTGCACTCAGCACACACTTTAAACGAGCTATATCTGTTGCTGTTGTCAATACGGTGACAGTTAACATCACGGCCGAGTTGTTCAGTTAGATATTCGGACAGTGTGTTATTAGTGAATTGCAAAGTAGCTTGCAAACAGTCTAAACTAAGATTATGAAAATGGTTCATATTAAACCTGCTTAATATCTTCACATCAGCTTGTTGGCATGTTAATCAAACAATACTGTGCCCAAGTATAGTCTCACAGAGCTGCTGGTGTGGCTGTGGACTCTTAGTCTTGTTAAACTAGTATGTCTTGATTTCAAACCTTGATGGTTGTGTTACTTTAGTTGTTGTTGTACCAAATGTGTGATCAAATGTATCCTGTTTACCTTGGCATCAGGGAACGTGTCTTTAAAGTATGTTGGCAGCCATGACAAAAGAGTGAAGAAGGTGCTCGCTGCGCAAAGGTGCGTAACGATCACAGCACTGTTGACAATAAAGAGAGAGAAACAGATACAATAAGTTAATTGAAACTATATTTATACATACTGTAGGTTTACCAAAAGTTGCTCAATGTTGTTGACTAAAGCAATATCCCAAATCTCATGATCTGACAAAAGCTTGTGTGCTACGTGTTCGACATCTATTGTTTTCCTGTCTAATAAATCATATCTGTGTTCAGGCAAGTAGCGTCTCAAGAAGGATCAGATACATCAGATGAAAACCACAGAGATTCTCCCTGTCACTGAAAACTGAGCAGATCAGTTACATTACAGTGTATACAAATCATATTGACCACAGGGAGATGCTGGAAGGACATAGAAGAACTTTAGATGAGAACATACAGCAGAGGCAGCTAGAGATGGGGCCTATTGTTCCAACATTTGGTACATATAAAAGCTAGACTTTAGTCTACAGAAACCGTTTTACTACAAAGATTTGATCTGTCAAGATTCAATATGTTTTACATATATTTCCACATTCTTCCGCCTAGATAATTTCTTCTTAATCTCTATACCTACATACAAAGGAGTCACACAGAGAAAAGATTGCATTCATACACAGATAGACTTGAACAAACATTCAAACTCACACCAAACACTTCCTTTATCTTTATCTCACCAGACTGCTGGTTGTTTTAGGAGCCGTAACCAATGTCTTTTAGACAGTTTGGACTGGGGCCCACCACTTCCCAGGGACTCCAGGGTGATGATAGGCCCTGCAAACACAGACCAACACAGACATGTGAGGATACAAACGAACACTGACTCCTATTGTACAAAGGAATACAAGATAGGACTGTGCTATGATGTCACTAGATAGTGTTGACACATGTAAAGCCTCTCTTGCCTTCTCCCTTGAGCAGATATTTCCACATGCAGTAGGCCCACAGCAATGAGAGGAGACCAGACACATAAAACACACTCTGCCAGCCATACAGGTCCAACATGAGGGAGCCAGCCCCTCCTACCACCAGAGTGCTGGGGGGAAAAGGTCACAACAAGACATGACAAGTCAGACAAACGTACCTTTGTAAACAGAGTGCTTAATTAGGCACACACTGTAAAGGGCATGAGCAGAACTTGTAAAGCAAACACATACAGTATCAGGATGTTATACTAAAACTGTACATCTGCATAAAGAATATAACAATTCTATTATTGTGGGATCACAACAGACACAGCTTTTAAATTAACCCGTCCTCTTTGCATTTTCTAGGAAAATAAACACTATTTCCCACCATTCCCATTTATTGCATAACGCTTGACTCACCCCAGGTAAGAGCCACTACCCACGGTGCTCATGAGGAAGCCCCTTTCACTTTCCACCACCTTCTGAGAGCACAGACTCGCCAGAGAAGGGTAATGAACTCCTAAAATCAGGACACGATCAGATCAGTTGATATTTAGAAAGTAATTCAAAAAGAAAGAAACAAGAAAGAAATAAAAGCAAGATTTCTACTGTGACAACACTCAAAACAAACATCTGAGAAATGTAGTCTGATGGGAATAATAATACTTGTACAATTTTCAATTTACAGTCTCTTTCAAAAAGGCCTGTCACAATGCATAACAACTTATTCTAAAGACAGACAACCGCACATTCATTTTCACTACAACTTTACCATGCGTTTGTGTGATTAATGTTGTCGGCCTGTTTCTAATTAGCAAACACAGCCGGCAGACTTTAAAATAAGTTGCATAATTATGCACTTTCAAGACCTTGAAAAAAGTGTACAGCATGTTTTTACAAATTAGGAATTAGGTTTCTCCTTAATAACTTACAGAAATCTTAAAATGCAATTCCTATCATTCACACTGTCCTTCTCACCTTGCAACAAGCCCATTAGGAAGCGGGCCAGTGTCATGGAGAATATTGGCTGGGAGCAGAAGTGGGCCAGGATGGGGGTGAAGGCCGTCATCGCCCCCCAGGCTGCCGTGGACAGCAGGAGGACTTTCTCACCTCCAACCCTGTGGACACAGAGTAAAGAAACAGTGAGTATGAACTTTAACTTCTGACCACACAGAGAGCTGCTTTTATCATTAAAGGTTGCTAGGGGAAGTACAACTATGATCATTTGGATGTCTTAAAACACTAGTAATCTTGCCTGTGGTTATTTTAGAAGATATGAACTGAAAGATAAAGCATTTTAAGGAATCATTTCAGACCGCTAACATTGGTGTGACTATTCTGGAGTAAATAAAATTCTTATTTGTACATGACGCTGTCCGCCTGCAAGAGTTTACAACATGATAATACAGAGGAAATATCAAGCCCTATTTACAGTCTTATCTAATCCACTATGAGCAAACAAATCGGGGCTGTTTGCATCACTGCCAGTAACGTTCTCGTGCAAATTACACCTGATGAGCAGTAGGCTAAAACAGCTGGCAATCGAAAACCAGTGTCATTTACAGCATTCCTAATAAGATAACACTTTTATCTCACAACAAGACCACTGTTTGAGCTCTAAAGATTCCCACCGGTCGCTGACGTAGCCTCCGAACACTTGGGTGAAGCAGTAACCCCAGAAGAAGCTGCCCAGCACCATGCCTGACTCGCTCTTGCTCCAGTGGAACTGCTCTGCCATGTTGACAGCACAGATGGGCATCGCCACACGGGCGCAGTACAGGAGGCATGTCCCGAGCAGCAACACCACCGTCCATACCCTCGCCACTGGCCTGCACAGGAGAGAAGGCAGAATGGATTGAACAAAGGCAACATTTGGGACAAACTTTGGATTTAGAACCAGTTTAAAAGTGAATGTCTTATCTATGTAGGGGAGGTAACCACTGTCCCCAATTTGGCTGCACTCTAAGTATATTTAGCCCGAGTTAAAGTGGATTCTATGAAGGTTAGGTTTAAGAGATTAGCTGTGGTTTGGTTGAATCTACAGGGGATACAGCACTATCTTGAAAATAAAGGAAATTACTTTAAGACTAAGGTGTCAAAAAATGTACAACTGATGATATTTTATGATCTTTCTTTTTTCAGAAAGGAAGCCCCCCTTACCTCCCAATTTAAATGTTACGAGCCATGTTTGTGACCTATGTGGCACACCAACTATATCCTCAAAGCCATGAACCGCCATAGATGATACGTGTCCTTTAAACCAACTGGTTTAGAGGTACTGTGTGTGTTTACAGAATACCTATAATCCTGATTCACGGCTAATAAGTATAGAGCAAAGAGTTGCTAAAAAGTATCAATATTGATTTAAATTAATCATGTTATCCTAAGTAGCTAAGACTTGGGTAAACAGGAAAAACAAACAGCAGTGAAACTCGATGAGGGTTAAAGGTGTTACCTTGTCCAGTGTGTGTTGTGTTCAGGCCAATTCTTGTGACATCCAGGAGCTCCGAGTTTGTCGGACGGATGGTTTTCCCTGTGACAGACCAAATCTGGACTACAGCTCTTGCCATGTTTTTGAATAACTGCCATTCAACGCGAGTTAACAGCAGCTTCCGTTCAACCGCTTCGGCTGTTTACTTGCAATGTCTTCCGGTCGATATGTGTGTCAGAAAAGTAAACGTGTAAAATAAATAATCCTGAAAATTGAAACTGGACTGAACCGGGACGTAAAGCGATGTTCGTGGAGCTGAAACTGGAGGAGGGAGTCTGTTTTCCCTGTTACCCTAGGAGGAGTAATCCACGTGTCAGTTATTTTCTCCAGCCTCCTTTTGCCGGCGACGCAGTTCTTCTTTTGATCGGTAGGGTTAATCTGGAAGTGATTTTTGTTCTGTGTCTTTTCTAAACGAGTCTAATAAACCGATTAAATCCCCCAAAAAAAACAGAGTGACGCCTCTGGCTCCGGTCCCTCTCCAATCATGATGGTGCAAAATATGTCACATCGGTGTCGTCTATGGGAGCATCGTCCGGGCACCAGGATGTGCTTTCCTCCTGACCCGTGCCTGCCGGATGGAGACGGGATGGTGCCCGTGCAGAGAGGCTGCTGTGGGGCAGGGAGGTGCGCAGTGACAGCCTCCAATGTTGTTTTAAGGGTTTGTCTGTCCCTGGCTATGTGAGGCTTTAGCAGGAAATCGTTATATAATATCCCTGCATTCAGCACAACTTTTTCCCTGATTTCGCAAACTCCAGGTGGTAGAAGGAGCACTCACATCCTTTTTTAGGTTGAAGTGATGCATTATATATGAAAACTTGCATTGCACAGTAGTACAACCGGTACTCAAAGATAACAGTGAAGTGTCATAATATTATACTGCTAGTTACAGGTCCTGCAGTTCAAAAACATTATTATCCAATGTAAAATTGGTCATTATCCAAATTGCCCCTCTTCAGAATCATATTAATTATTTGTTTATGTATGAAACTCTTAACCTGTAGCTAGTCACTAAAGCTTCCAAATAAATGTAGTGGAGCATAAGAATAAAATACTTCAAATGCATACATAGTGCTTGATTTATGTCATTTCCAATAAATGTTACCCTCGTAAAAACACTTCATGTTTAAGTGTTGCAGTATTGAAACTTGTGTACTTGAGTGAATGGACTTAGTTATTTTGCCGTTACACCATTTGAAACATAGAAAGCGTCATTCCTAGACTTGTGCAGTTTAAAAGTCACTTTTATTGCAAAATAATATTCCAGAAAAAAAAAAGCACATCACATTTTTGCAAAATAGCTACTTATTCCATACATGTAGATAATCGGTCTGTAAAAGTGTCTCCATGTCTGCGGACATAGATGTATTCATTCACATTTTTTATATCATCAGTGATATTTTGTAACGGTATGAAACTGAGGATGCCTTTAAGCTTGCAGTCACAGTATGCTGGACAGTTCTTAGCATTTCCGGAATCTTGCCTTATCCCACTTATTTGCTCAAATGTTTCTCTTTTCTTTGTTATTGTCTATATTTGCATCTTTTTATAGTGTCTCAAGCAATGATGAAGTACGATTCTTAAGCTAAATTCAACTTTCAAAGTCACAATACTTTAAAAGATTCCATGTATCTTGCTTTGGCTATTGCCGTCACATAGAGGACTAGCTAAAATCTACAAGCTGAAATGTGTGAGAAAAAGTTTGCATTTATTTGAGGCAGTGCACACCGAGCCATCCCTGGACATCAAACTGGTCACCCACAAGAGTGACAGCCTAATTTAGGCTTTATCCACACCCTTCTATGCCAACAACTTTCCCTGCCAACAGACAGAAAAACTAGTATAACTCAAATATACTATTTTACATAAACAAATAGTAAATTATAATACCAAGTAAAATAACTGTATGCATGTTAGTTTAGTGTGAATATTCATTTTAAAATGCCATCAATCCAGTTTGTGCATTCTAAGTTATTAAAGTATCAAAAAGCAACCCTTACAAAAAAGAAAAGGTTGTACTCTATATGAGTCAGTTTGTTGGGGTATAAATAGATAAAGGAAATATGTCCATTTTGTAATGCTGTGGTATGTTTTCACTGTGGGTCCTTATTTGGGGTCCTCGATGGTTCCCTTGCTGAGGTCTGTCATTTTGGGATACTTCACTTTCTTTTGGTCAAGTTCATTTTGAGCCCACAGCAGTAGCTTCAGGAGCTTGGCCAGCTTGGGAGTTGACTCTCTGTTTTCGTAGTCGAGCACACACTGATTCACTTCACTCCATACCTGTAACACAAAGACACATACATGTTTGTATTTATACTTTACATTTTACACAGACACACACTAATAAAGAAACTCATATGCAACTGATTTGAAAACAGGAGATACAAATACTAAATGTGTCTTCAAAATAATGCAGCACTAACATTCAATGTTTGACCTTGTGTTGCAGGGATCAGATCAACATTTTTGGCTTGTGAGATAATCAAATTACATGTGGCATGCAGTTTAAACTGATTCAATTGAATACAGATGCAAGACAAGACAGAGATTATGCTAATATGCTTTAACCGTACCTTTTGCCTCTGCATCATATTGAGCAGATCTCCAAAAGGTGACTCCTCAGGGTTGTCAAAAGCAAGCAGGGCCAGTGTCCTTTCCATCTCAGTCAGACATTCTCGGCTCTCCTCCCCCTGCTCTGCTAACTGAGACTGGGCAAATTCCAGGGCAGCTTCAGTCTCCCTTAAACGAATCAGCTCAATCAGATGCTGCTGCTGCAAACAAAAACAGCCAGAGGGTGCAACCGTGTGAGATGAGAAGTCAAAAACAGGCAGTACAAAACCAAGAGGTCTGAAAAATGAGGGGCATTTTGTTTTGTTTTACCTGTAGGTGAAAGTAGAGGTAACGGTTAGTATCCAGCAGTTCTGGGTGCAGGCTGTTAATCAGTGCAATGGCGTCCTGGATTTGTCCCTTCAGGATCATCTCTCTGATCTTAATTCTTTCATCTAGGGAATCCAAGTCCACACTAGGCTCTATTCCAGACTCCATCCTGAACTTCTCAGCTGCCTCCTTGAAGCCCTCTGTGGAACAAAAACCGTGGTAAAACTCTGCACATTGTACACCCGTGCATTGCTTTTATCTTCACAATTGACCTTTAAAAAGACAACCAAGAACAAACTTAGAGTAATACAAAATCGGTACTTCACCTGTCACCAGATAGTTCATAATTAGCCTGTTCATATCGGCTCTCTGAATATGGACATTGTTGAGTTTTTCCATCCACTCTTCCCTTGTAATGTCCTCTGGCTTCTCTGTATAACTCATTTTGTAAATATCCTAGACGAATGCAGAAGGGTTATCTTATTAGTTGACAAATAGACATTACATCCAACCAAATTATACAATGTGTTAGCGGTTTTGGCAATAAGCTCTTCAGTTTCTCAGCAACACTGCACCGGAAATTATAAGTCACAACAGTTAGGGCCTTCGATGAAAAACACAACATTGAAGCCTGCCTTTCCTCAACACGAATCAAAACAAACACAACCTCCTCATTTCAGTACATTTGTATAGAATACACACACAATCAATGAATGCTTTTAATGTTAATGTGCTTTACCGACTTGTATCTATAGCCCAATAGTAGTATTAAAGTTATAAAATTCACAATACCTGAAAATGTTTTCGCTACTTCCCAGCAGTAGCTAACTAGCTAGCGGAGGATAGCTACTTCTTCTTCTTCGACTACTTCCTCTATTTCCGGTACCGGTAACTACAAAGAAAGTGTAATACTGCCCCTACAGGATATAAAAAGCATTTTATGACTGGTTGAGAACATAGGTTGAGAGTTGAGAACTGCATATCTCATAAAGGCTAATGTGTTTTTCTTACTATCTTAACCAGTTACACCTACTGCATCTGTCTTTCTGACTTTCTTTGAGAAGACACGTGCAGTAGTGGCATTCGTCTTACTATTTGGATGACGATTAATAGGAGTGTATCTATGTAGTGTGCTTGTATAGTGACTGGTAATTTTGTGTTTATTTTATAGTTGCTTTAATAACATGGCACAGCATCACTTGACATAACTACAAGTTTAGCATGGACAACACATGAGGATGAGAAAACACCTGTTATAAAAGGAACTACAGCGACCTCAAGTGTTGTAATCAGGCAATAGACCAAACTGTAGATTACTCGAGGTAGCAAAGGGAATATGGACCACTCCTCAAAGGATTAGAATACTATTAGGTTTTATTTGTCACTATAAAATGTATAAAACATTGTTGAAATGCAATAAGTATGAACATTATTATCTAAGTAGATGTAATACATTATTAGAATTGCCACAAAACATATATAATCAATATATTCTGATATACTGTTTCACTATTTTACATTATTTTCTGCAGTCTATTAGTCATTAGAGTTTAAACTTGTCCTGTTGCTAACCTCAGTTTGCAGATGTTAGCAACAGGAGAAGCCCCGCCCCCCTCCTGGCTTCCTTGTTTGTTGTCACTATGGAAACCACGCTGTTAACTTTAGTCCTAGAAGTCCGTTCAGAAGCTAAACTCAGTTAAACAACATTAGCTGTTGACAAAATAACCAAAGCGAGAAGATATTGAATGAAAGAGCAGGTAACCCGATTTACAGCCTGTCGTTATTTACTGCAATAAGCTAACTTTTACGATTATTACAGCGACCAAAAGTGATTGTTTTTGTTAACGTTGTGTATGTAGCATTAGCACGATAACTAACTAGCTTAACTCAATTAGCCTTGGAGTTAATGAAAGACAGCTGTAATAGCCTTACTTTTGCTTGTTATTTTCAGTGTCTTGTTGCCAGACATGGCCAGCACTCCTGGAGTTAGCGAAGGCACATCAGCAGTGAAGAGCATGTCGCAGTTTCCCGTCCTGCCCCCGATTGATGGCGTTCAGGACCGGGGGGAGGTTAGACAGACCACTGCTGGAAAGAAGGAGATAGCTGAGAAGATTACGGTTCGCAAGAAATTTCTGAGGCACAGAAGGAGCAAAGTGCAACAAGAGCAACTCCATGCCATATTGTATGTTTTTAACATCAACTGTGGCAGCCCTTTCGTCAATACATCAATATTAGGATATGACAATGATCTCAGTTTGTAACAAGTTTGTTGATGTGTGACAATTGGTTGAATTATTACAGGGTGTCCAGAGCAATGGAGGCTTACAGTCAGACCAAAGAGAGGGAAGCAGTGCACTCACCAGAATCAGAGTGTCCTCCTTCTGTATGACAATCACCTATGCACACATTTAAAATAGAACATTTTATATGTATATTGCAGTCTATAATCTGGCATATTTGAATCGTTCTTTTTGCAGATGATAAGTGAGGAGCGCAAGCGAAGGGTAAGTCCATAGTTTAGTTCAAGTAAAATGCAACCATTGAGGGACTAAACCCTGTATGTCATGCCTCTCCAATTTTGTTGTTCCAATTTGCAGATGAACTACATGTTCCTAAGGCAGTGTGTAGAGAACCGCCCATTCGCTCCAATCCAGTCACAGTGGTTGGAATCAATTGTTGCCCGAGTGTCACCTAATTTTAAAAAGGGCCCTGAAACCAATAAACTACTTCAGGAGCTCTGCAAAGAAGTCAGCGAGGATTTCCACAATGTGATTGTCAAGCACACAGGTATTGTCAAGTTAGTATGTATGGATGTATGGATCTATGGGTAAACAATGTCTTATTATGCCATATTCACTCCCTTTAGTGGACACAGTACTAAAGAATCCCCAGATAAAAGAAGCAGACAAACCGACAGCTAGTCAACCAAAGTGAGTGTGAAATGTACAACACGTATTTATTGATAATAACCAAAAAGTAGTTGGTCAGTATTTACAATGCCCTTTTTGTAAGTTACCTTTCCATTGTTGGCAGAATTCTGGATTTCTCTCCATCATGGCATAATAGCTTTGTCCGAAGCCGCAAAATGATGAAATCAAATTTGCACATTCTTCATCCGGTAATGCAAACTGTCTTGAATATTGGATACTTGACATTTTCTCCAGTGGTCCTGGTGGACCTTACAGGATGCAGGTAAGGAAAGACACAAATTCAATGTGGCGCTGCTTAAAAAAGAACAAAACTCAGATTTCCCATGATTTTAATTTGTTGGCTTCTCTCTGTTAAGGGCTTCGGGACCTGTAGACTGTAAGAGCCTACAGAACAAAATGGCAGTGGAGTGTAAGAGGACAGAAGATCGTATCATGAATACCTGGTTTCCAAAAGTCATCCACTTATTAACAAGCTATGAAACACTGAAGGGAGTAAAAGAGGAGAAACTGGACTCATTCTATGACTGTGCATCAACCCTCATCTCCAATCAGGTGAGATCATTCTGACTTGAATTTGAGCCTAATTTGTCAGATTGAATAGATTACTGTTATTTAAATGAAGGTTGTTTCATTGTATCAAAAACAGTACATACATACATGAATTATGTTATACTGTCCTATATAATTTCATCATATTAAATGTTTGGATATAATGGCATTCATTTTATGTTTTTTTTCTCGACTACACATTATGACTGATTTTCCTTTTGTTAATTCCCAGTTGAAATCCCTGCTTCAGTCGAGTATAGAGGAGTTGGTCAATCACTTTGATCCGAGCAATGGCCAACGCTTGCCCCTCTTTCGCATGGCTTTGACATTTGATGATGAAAAGATGGAAATTTACCCCACATTACAAGATCTGGGAGCTGCCATTTTGGAGATTCTTAATGCCATCACAAACACGCTGCAGGTGAGGTTATGTCCAATAGCAATTTAAAAGGAATGACCACTTTATGGCACATTTTAGAGGTAAAAAAATGATTGTGTGCTAGTATTGATATCTATGACATTGATCCACAGAAAGTGCAGATGGTCCAGTCATGGCTGGCACAAACCTCACCTTCCTTTGTTGATGCCAAGGTGGCTGATCACGTCCTAGCTTGGGCTCAGGTCACTATAAAGACAGCTGTGTGCAAGAATCTAGAAGAACCTGACGGACACTTCAAGAACTATGGTGATGTTTTCTAATCCATTAATTTGCTTTTATCGTGATTACGTTTAATTCCATTCATTACTGACTTTTCTGCTTGACTTGCAGTTAAGAACTATGACTGGTTGATCAATGGAGCGGCACAGGCAAGAGTAGAAAAGTTCATGCAAGAGGAGCACTCTTTTGATGAGTACACTAAGGTAATTATCAGACAAAATACAATTGATGCTGCATACATTATGGAGTTATTCTTATTCTCATTTTTATTTAAAGCAAGTGGAGGAGTTTCGTGTTCTGTCAAAAGAGATTCTCAACCTCCCAGCAAAAGCCCACTTTCCCATGGTCCATCTGGACTGTGAAGAGCTGAAACAGGGGCTTGCCAACAAAACAAAAAAGTATGCTGAAATACTTCTGAAGAAACTGATCACCAGCCACCGTGAGCAAAACCAACAGTGAGTCACTTCTTGTAACATTCTTTAATCAAACTGTCTGTCTTTGTTTTTTTTTATATTATTCAGTTTTTCTCACAATCCGTTTTGTGTCTGATTAAAGGATCTGCACTGAATTTGAAACCATCAGAGAAAATGTTCTGAAAGTACCAGAGAACACAGAGGACATGAGTCAGATCATTGATCACATTGCATTCACTAAAGCAAAGGGTATTGCTGAACTTAATACAAAACTAAAGGTAAAGTAATTGGATCTACCTGTTGTATCGTACACTAAATCATATCGATTTCAGTTTATTTATTTGTCGTTGTGTCCCTGGGCAAGACACTTCACCCCAAATTGCTCCTGTGGGGATTGCCCACAGTATTGAGTATGTAAGTCGCTTTGGATAAAAGCGTCTAACAAGTGACATGTAATGTAATGTAATGTAATTTATTTGAATTCTAACCGTATTTACTACCACATCGCGTTCTGACAGGAAGCCTACTTAAGACTGATGTACATCCTGGATGTCCACATCATTGAGCCAGAAGATCTGGAGCTCAATGCGACTGTCTTTCTCTGGCCACAGAAAATCCTCCATGCCTTTGACCTCAGTGATAAAGTAAGACTTGTGTTACTGTTGACAATAGTATGTCAGAGTTGTTTTTTAACAATAACCGGATACTGGACGGCTGCATCCTTTTCCAGGTGATGTCGAAGGCCAGGCAGAAAGGGGAGTTGGAGCTGATCGCGAAAATTGAAAAATTAATGATTCAGCTGGAAAAGTTGGGACGCAGGATCGAAGAGCTCCCACATTACTCTGAGCTGGATATGATGCAGCAGGTAAAGGGTCTTTAGCACCTTTAGAATTTGAAGAAATAATAGTTCTGACATTTTGGGAAATATATGTATTTGCTTTCTTGCCGAGAGCAAGATAGAAATATCAATACCAGTCTCATAACTCTCCATAAACCCACCTATTGTTGTTCTTACACTTCAGATTTGTACGTTTTAAACAAACAATATATACATTGTTAATTAATAAGGTTTAACGGTTGGTGGATTTTGATACTTCAGACAGAGCCAGGCTAGCTGCTTCCTGCTGTTTCACTTCTAATGCTAGGTTAAGCTACTTGTCCGCTATCTCTAGCTTCATATTAAACAGATAGATATGATGAGAGTGGTATCAATCTTCTCTTTTAACTCTCTGCAGTAAAGTGAGTAAGTGCACTTCACAAAATGTCAAACTGTCCCTTTGAACTTAAAATAACTTTATATTCATTTTAAAATATGCTGTTTAATTCCTAATCAGTGTAAGTACAAAGCAAGTACTGATCAGATTTGTGTAAAAGCATCATAAAACCAAAATGTTGTGATATTTTCTAGCAATACAATGACATCAAATGGAAAATATTTGTCTTGTCTCCCCTCTTTTTCAACAAGTATATAACGGATGTCAGAACAGTTCAGAAACTTCTCCAGGATGCTGAGGAGGCCATCGTCTCCGTTAACAAAGAAGAGGCCTTCTACAAACGGGACCAAACCTTTTACCCAGAGGTTGATGTCATCAGAGACACCATTGACCCGTATCAGAAGCTGTTTGCACTTGTGCAGAAGTGGCAGCGCACCCAGAACAGGTCTGAAAGTAATTTAGTATGTGTTGCATTCTAATTAAAAAAATTCTCCTGACATCCTTTTACCTTCTTTCTGAATAGGTGGATGAACGGCTCCTTCCAGGAACTAGATGGCGAGAGCATGGAAATAAAAGTGGACGAGTTCTTTAGGGAGATCTTCAAAATGCTGAAGTTATTCCAACAGAAGCAGAATAAGGCTGAGCAAGAGATGGAGAAGATTGCGGGAAAGTCTAGGCCACGAACTGCCGAGGCTGATCAAAAGAAGCAGGGAAGCCCCACAGTCGTTTTGTGCTCCGCTGTAATGGAGCAGATCAAAGAGTTCAAGGTAACTGCCATCTCAATCAGGCTTGTTAATGAGGTCTTGTAGCCAGTTCAATCTTGTTTGCTGATGCTCAACCTCGATGTGTTTTTCTCAACAGGACCATATCCCCGTAGTTTCCATCTTGTGTAATCCAGGCATAAGAGCTCGCCACTGGGAACAAATGTCAGAGGTAGTGGGGTATGACCTCACTCCTGACTCTGGAACTACACTGAGCAAAGTTCTCAAACAAAACCTGGGTTCTTACCTGGAAGAGTTTGATTCTATCAGCGCTGCCGCTAGTAAAGTGAGAGTTCCTGAAATGTTGTGTTTCTTCGGCGTTTGATAAAAACCTAATACTAAATGTGCTGACCACCCTGTACCCCCACTATCTTGTGTCTCAACAGGAGTTTTCCCTGGAGAAGGCTATGCAAAGCATGGTGCATATTTGGGATATTATTTCTTTCAACCATCAACCTTATAGAGAGACCGGAGTGTCCATCTTGACCTCCTTGGATGAGATTCAGACAATGCTAGACGACCAGATTGTGAAGACTCAGACTATGAGGGGCTCACCGTTCATCAAACCTTTTGAAAAGGAGATCAAGGTAAGCTTTTAGTTTTAGAATTCACCAAACGCTGATGAATACATTTTTCAATCTCAACTCTTGGGAGTTTTACTAGTCCTGCAAAGATTTACCTGTTTGTTCTGTGACCTCAGCTTTGGGAGGAGCGTCTGCTTCGTATCCAGGAGACCATCGATGAATGGCTGAAGGTGCAGGCCCAGTGGCTCTATCTGGAGCCCATCTTCTCTTCTCAGGACATCATGCAGCAGATTCCAGAAGAGGGCCGACTTTTTCAAACTGTTGACAAAAACTGGAAAGAGGTCATGAGGCACTGCATTAAGAACCCTAAGGTAGTCGTCGAAATTATTTTGTGGTGGACACTTTATTCCTATTATTTGAAAAAAGGCAAATCTGAAATGTAAACTCTTTGTGTTAACTGAGGATTTCTAATCATAGATTCTGGCTGCAACCGCTCTGCCTGGTCTGCTAGAGAAACTGCAAGATTCTAACAACCTCCTGGAGATCATCATGAAAGGGCTGAACGCCTATTTGGAGAAAAAACGTCTCTATTTTCCACGGTAAAGAAAACTATTTTTCAGTGTGTTTTTGTACAATGCTTTGTTACATATTTTAATACTTTCTACCAATGCTGCTGCCAGGTTCTTCTTCTTGTCCAATGATGAAATGCTGGAGATTCTGTCTGAGACCAAAGACCCCCTGCGAGTACAGCCCCATCTGAAGAAGTGCTTCGAGGGTATTTCCAAACTGGACTTCCTACCCAATCTGGATATCCAGGTAAGGCTGTCACACATATTGTTATTGTTATATGACAACATGGTTGATGAACGTTTATTAAATTGTTTTTAAATTCTCCCCCAGGCGATGTATAGTAGTGAGGGGGAGCGTGTTCCGCTGATCCAGAACATCTCCACGTCTGACGCCAAAGGAGCTGTGGAGAAGTGGCTGCTGCAGGTGGAGGACTTGATGCTTCGCAGTGTCCGAGGTGTAGTGGCACAGTCCAGGCTGGTGAGATCACTGTTCCAATACCTCATATAATAAAAACTACTGTGATTTTTGTACTAAAATACTATCCTGTGTATTGATCTTACTTAATAAGATAAACCTAAGTCTGTTATTGTGGTTGTACTGACAGGACTACGCTGAGACTGCTCGGAGCCAGTGGGTCAAAAAGTGGCCGGGCCAGGTGGTGCTCTGCACATCCCAGATCTACTGGACCTTGGAGGTTCATGAAGCCATCAGATCCGGAGCAGATGTAGGTTTTCGCACTGTTTTACACCCTTTATTCACAGCTTCCCTAATGAAACTGATGTTAAGTGTTTTTCTGAATATGAGAAAAATAAGTTCTGAGGATTAAACTTAAAGTTCACCTATTATGCAAATTCCACGTTTTCATGTCTTTTATACATCAACATGAGTCCCCTCTGTGTAAAGAGGTTCTGAAAGTTTCAGGAAAAAAGATTTGCTCACTTTTTGTCCTGATCCATTTATATAAAAACCTGTCTGAAAATGAGCTGATCAGATTTTGGACACTTTATGATGTCATAACGATTTGTTGGCTTGTGTAACCATTAGCCAATCACCAACCAAGGTAACACCCCGCCCCACCTTATCACCTGAATCTCCTCCTAGAGCACCTTTGTGTTCTTTTGAACCAAATATCTCTCAGAGGGGCGTGGGGAGTGGCTCCTTATTTTTCATCTAATGTAAAAGACAGCACTTTTGAAACAGAGCTGAAACAGAGGGGATTATGGGATGCTACAATGCACGATCTGTTTGGTGTTTCAGCAAAACACTTCAGAGACATGTTTTGGATATATCTGACACCTATAATATATTGATGATAAACAGTATAATAGGGGACCTTTAAAACTTAACTTATCAATAAAAACATAAAACAAACTTACATCCAGTTTAATAGTGCTGATCACAACAATGAGCTTTTACAGTGTAGTCTACAACCCAGTGATGTCTGTCCCTTGACCTACTAACTTTCGAAAAGCATGGCACCATAACAGTACCACCTTGGGGGAAAAAAACAAAATATAATTTAGTCTTCTGCTTTCTGTAGGGCTTAAATAACTACTCCCAGCAAATCCAGAGTCAGCTGACGGACATTGTGGAGCTGGTGAGAGGGCAACTGCCCAAGCAAACCCGGACCACTCTGGGAGCGTTGGTCACTATTGATGTCCATGCCAGGGATGTGGTCTTGGAGCTAATTGAGAAAGGTACATCATGGCACCAAATGCTTCACTATTCACTATAAAGAGCATTACCTTAGTTTAGAAACAGCATCAAGTAAAAATAATTGTTTCCATTTTTAACAGGAGTATCAAATGAAACAGACTTCCAATGGCTAGCCCAGCTTCGTTACTACTGGAACAATGACAATGTTCGTGTTCGCATTATCAACTGTGATGTAAAATACGCCTATGAATACCTGGGGAACTCGCCACGTCTCGTCATCACTCCACTGACTGACAGATGCTACAGGACACTGGTAAAATATTCCACTAATAGCCGTCTTAAACCTGAATACTCTTATATTCGAATAAGGCTGAGTGATCAGACATTTTAACATTAAATTAAGAAGTTCACCTTTTGTTTTAGATTGGTGCTTTCTACCTGCATTTGGGGGGTGCACCTGAGGGTCCTGCTGGAACAGGAAAGACGGAAACCACCAAAGATCTAGCCAAAGCTTTAGCTGTGCAGTGTGTGGTCTTCAACTGTTCTGATGGACTTGATTACCTTGCTATGGGCAAAGTACCACCAGCATGACATTTTTGTATTTGAATTCCTATTTATAATGCCACATTATAATGTAAAAGTGTTATTTCTAAACCAATGTTTTCAATTTCTCTCAGTTTTTCAAAGGTCTGGCTTCATCTGGTGCATGGGCATGCTTTGATGAGTTCAATCGTATCGAGCTGGAGGTGCTGTCTGTGGTGGCTCAGCAGGTTCTCTGCATCCAGAGGGCTATCGAGCTGGACCTGGAGTACTTTGACTTTGAAGGGACCATGCTCAAACTCAACTCCAACTGCTTTGTGTCCATTACAATGAACCCTGGCTACGCAGGGCGCTCAGAACTCCCAGACAACCTCAAGGTCTTTAATTAGTCAATAAGTATTTTATCAGGCATTTGTGGGATTCAAAACAAATATACGCTGTTACTACAGTACTTCTGCTCCGCATAATTAATTATTTTATTGTACATAACTTAATGGCCCTTTTATCAAATTATAAGATGAGATAAGATGTACTTTATTGATCCCAATTTGGGGAAGGTTTGCGTTGCAGCAGCATAAAAGACAAGGCATTGCACATAAGAGAAATTAAGAGTAGAAATACACAATTCTAAAATGTAAACATCTCAAAATAGAAATAAAACAGCAATACAAAAAGTATAAAATATACATATTGAAATACCAATTTACAGTAAACAAAATATAAAGCAGGATATGATATACATTAAGTGTGTGAGGAATGGAATATTAAATAAAATACAAGTGTCAAATGTAGATTGTGAGTTTAAGTCCAGTATATACACTTTAATGAATGAATAGTGCTTTCACACCCTTCATTATAATGTTATATAATAGACGGATGTGTGACTCTTGAACACTGCCATTACTTAATTAGTTCTATCATTTCTCTGTGTAGGTGTTGTTCCGAACAGTGGCCATGATGGTCCCCAACTATGCCCTGATAGCAGAGATCTCTCTATATTCATATGGCTTCCTCAATGCCAAGCCGCTGTCAGTCAAGATAGTGATGACCTACAGGCTCTGCTCAGAGCAGCTCTCGTCCCAGTTCCATTACGATTACGGCATGAGGGCTGTCAAAGCTGTGCTCGTAGCTGCAGGAAACCTCAAGCTCAAGTTTCCGGACGAGAACGAGGACATTCTGGTATTTGTGCTGAAATGATTTCTCTTAATTTGTTAAATTAGTCTATTCTGAGCCCTAATTGTGAACTTCTTTATTTTGTAAATTGGTTTGCATTGTTTTTTTCCGCACATGTTGTAACGTCCAGCTGCTGAGGTCCATTAAGGATGTCAATGAGCCCAAGTTTCTCTCCCATGATATTCCGCTGTTCAACGGAATCACCAGCGATTTGTTCCCAGGCATCTCACTTCCCGAGGCCGACTATCAGGTCTGTTAGTCTTAAATGTAAGAATGCCGTACACATGTATTCATATCGCCTTGTGTATAATATTGAGTGTTTTTTTTATGTCCATGCCAGCTGTTTCTGGAGGCTGCTTTAGAATGCTGTAAAAATCACAATGTGCAGCCAACAGAGGTTTTCATACAGAAGATTATCCAAACATATGAGATGATGATAGTCAGGCATGGGTATGTTGAATTCCAATTTCACTGATATCATATTACGATGTTTACCATTTCAATCAGGAGAGACGGTTTTGATGTGAGAATACATATTTATTGCCAGGAATACACATATTAATGTAATGGAGTTTTGGCGATTAGGCCCCGTTGTGCGGGAGTATCATTCGGGAGGGGAGAACCAATCCGATGAACCCCCCCGGGGTCTAGACACTGGTGGTGGTGAGTGGATAGTTGGGTTCGGCCTGAAGGGGAGTGGCTTAGCTTGACCCTGGATTCAGAGGGACAGGGGCTGAAAAATGGGTGGAGGAGGAGGGTTCCGTCGATTCACCTGGAATGACAGAGGAGAGAGCAGATTTAAAAGGTTTAGCGGAGCTCTATGATAGGCTTGTGAGAATAGAGCGAAGTGATTGGTTAAGCTGGGGAGTGACGCCCCCGATCACTTATTGAGAGGAGAGAGAGTAGTAACATGGAAATAGTAAATGAAGAGTAAAGAAGGTCTTCCTGGTTGAACTTGCGCTGAGCTTCATGTGTTCAAGTTACACTATTTGAAACGTGATTACAATAAGATATTCCTTTTTCTGTCAGGTTCATGCTGGTGGGGGAACCTTTTGCTGGGAAGACCAAAGTGCTGCATGTTCTTGCTGACACGCTGACCCTCATGAATGAGAGAGGGTTTGGTGAGGAAGAGAGGATCATATACAGGACATTGAACCCAAAGTCCATCACCATGGGACAGCTCTTTGGACAGTTTGACTTAGTTTCTCATGAGGTAGACCTGAGCCCTGGATCAACACATCACAAATCTATATCACAGATAAATACAATATTTGTTTATTCAGAGTATTGATCTAGGTCTTGGACAACAGGTGACCCTTTCTTCCTCTAAGTCTTTTCACTTTTTCCTTTCCTCATTATTAGTGGACTGATGGGATTGTGGCCAACACATTTCGTGAGTTTGCATCCGCTGACACACCAGAACGTAAATGGGTGGTGTTTGATGGTCCCATAGACACACTGTGGATTGAGAGCATGAACACTGTGCTGGATGACAACAAAAAGGTTCATATTTCACAGTAAAAAACATTTGATAATTATATGTATTTCTTTCTAACACCATTTTGGATTTTATTTGTCTTCATAGTTGTGCCTGATGAGTGGAGAGATCATGCAGATGTCCAATCAGATGAGTCTGATTTTTGAAGCAATGGATCTCTCCCAGGCCTCAGTGAGTTCGATATTTGGAGTTGAATACATTGAATTGATTGTTCTGTCTTACAAATGACAAATTGCTAGTTTAGCATTTTGCAGTTATAAAACTCCACCAAATTAACCAACAAGCTTAATAAACAAGCTTTCCTTCCTGCAGCGTTCAGACTATACAACCAGCACAGCCCCTAGTTGACCCCCCCCCACACACACACCACAACACAGACTATATCACCCCTTGCTGTTAAATACCAACCACCTATGTGCAATATGTGCTAGATGTGCAATATATATAGATGCCGTTAATAACTGTAATATATACCTGGCTGCTAAATCCTAAGAACTGTTACAGGATGTGTATTTCTTTAAATTATGTAACTTTTTATTTTTTATTATATATTCTTTTAATGATATCATAATTTAGTACTTTTTTTTAAATGCATGTCACATATATAACATATGTAACATTAAGCTGTTTGTGGCTGTAACTACGCACTAATAAAGGTATTCTGATTCTGAATAAGATAACCAATGGGAATTAACAATGTATCGAGCCTGATTGATCGTTCGTTCGGTTATTATCCTCCCCTGTAGCCTGCCACAGTCAGTCGGTGTGGGATGATCTACATGGAACCGTCTCAGTTGGGCTGGGAGCCCTTGATGATCTCCTGGATGAACAATCTTCCTGAAGTCCTTCAGAGACCGAACAACCGCTCCCTGCTGCTGGAGCTCTTTCATTGGCTCGTGCCGCCTGCCCTCAGGATGCTGCGGAAAAACTGCAGAGTAAGGGACCCCAGGCCCCAGATCAACCCAGACTCTACTAACGGTTGACAGTAGTGAATCGTTATTTGAATACAGTAGTTTTGACATGTTCGTTTATTTTATATTCTCTCCAGGAAGTGGTTCCCACTAGCAACAGTAACACAGTTGTGTCCTTGTGTCGACTGTTTGAGATGCTGCTCTCTGAACCCGTGAAAACGAGTCCTGAGGAAAAAAATATAACCACTTGGATCATGGTAAAAGGAATTGTTTTTCTATTTGAATGATATATTAACACTATATCTCCGCTAAATAATGCTCTCTAATGCACACCCATGCACTCATTTTAGTGTTTTTGTTTTACTTTCCATTTCAGTTAAAGGGGACCTATCATGCAAAATGCACTTTTTGATGTATTTTATACATAAATATGTGTCCCCGGTGTGTCAGGGAACTCACGCAGCGTCAGAAAATAAAACCCTCTCTCTTTTCCTCCGTACCCAAATCTCTAAAAACGGGGCTACAACGGAGCTGATCCAGATTTACGTCCGATATGACGTAATATCGGAAATGCAGACCCACGGCACTATCAGAAAGTTGCTATCAAAAACCATGCCCGACTGTTTTGGACATTATATGGTCGGTGTTTACATTAGCATCGCTAACACTCAGAGCTAACCTGTACTGGAGAGCATGTGTGTGAAGAAGCAGGAAGTAAAAAGGAACTCACCTTGTGGTATAACCGGCAAGAGAGAAAGCCTTTGAGCTCCATACTGTTTCAGAAATAATCCTTGATAATCCATGATATGGCGTTTCATCACCGCAGTATTTAGTTTAGACAGTAGCTGCCGGGTCCCGCATGAGCTCAGTCCTTTTTAATTTTGTTATACATCTTCTTTTTTTTAAAGCTTTATACCCCAAATCAGCCCTTTTCAAACAGGAATAGAAATAGAGGAATATGAGGCATGGCTAGAATGGGTGATCTCTTTGGTATTTTGAGCAAAACACTTCATAGACATGACGTTTTTTATATATTTGTATATATCTGAGACCTATGCTATTGCCTAAAAATAGCATGATAGGTGACCTTTAAATTACATTTTTCCTGACACCTTCACTTCTGTTTCTTTATGATTGCAGGCAGCTTTTTCCTTCTCCATGGTGTGGAGTGTGGGTGGCAGCTGTGACTCCGACAGCAGAGAGAGGTTTAGTGAGTTCTTCAGGGTGATCGTGTCAGGAAAAGAAGAAAATCCTATCCCAGCCTCTGTGGGGAAATGGGAGTGTCCAATGGATGACAAAGGGCTGGTGTATGACTATTACTATGAGGTAATTTGTATAAACATCATTCCGAGATGTTTTGCTTTTGTTTAAATCAGTAAATCATATTGTATCTCTTCAACAGTTTAAAGGAAGAGGCCGCTGGATTCACTGGAATGATAACATAAAAAATGTCAACCTGGGGGACAAAAACACCAAAGTGCAGGAGATCATTGTTCCCACCATAGATACAGTTCGCTACACCTACCTCATGGACCTCTGCATCAGATACGGAGTGTTAGTATTCTTGTGTCACTGATACATACAAGTGCCTTTTGTTTTACTTTGATTTGTGCCATATAAGCTGTTTTCAAAATGGTGTGTCTAACTCACCCTGGATTTATTTAAATTGGATTTTATTTTTACACCTCTCCTCTGTTTTTTCTAGGCCTCCCCTATTTGTTGGTCCCACTGGCACTGGGAAGTCAGTGTATGTAAAAGAGAAGCTGCTGAACAACCTGGACAAAGACCAGTATCTACCCTTCTTTATCAACTTTTCAGCTCGCACTAGCGCCAACCAAACTCAGGTCAGCATTTAGGAAGCAAGGATGGAAGAATTTCTTGCAGAGTTTTTGGGATCACTAGAGAAGCACTATTATGTCCTCTTTTAAACAAAAAGACATGGCAAAGGTTTAATTTTATATTTCATTTCATGTAATCGTTTATTTGAACCAGGACAGTGCACATTGATGAACATTTTAAAACAAAATAATGCTTACAAGTGTAAATGAGCCGGATTTGAGCTTTTAGCTAATTTCCATCCGTAGTCCCGTCACATACAACATATAAGAACATGGCATTTATATACATAGCAAAAATAAATACATGATATGCAGGAAGAGCATGAGCAGCATACAATCATTTACCACATGGCAGTACAATGTAGCAGCTATGATATATAAAGTGCAAGATAAGATAAAAGTGATAATTAATTTTAAAAAAAAGTTTATATTTGACACTTTATTTGTTGCATATACTAGACTATCATCATGTCCAGATTGGATAAGAGAAGGAAGGGAGTGTTCGGGCCCCCCATGGGAAAGAAGTGTATCATCTTTGTGGATGACATGAACATGCCTGCACTGGAACAGTTTGGAGCGCAGCCACCTGTGGAGCTTTTTCGGCAGTATATGGACCATGGAAACTGGTATGAAACCATCCACTATTAGATACCACTCTCATATCAAAAGGAAAACAGGAATAACTAATCTTGATGCATTAAGATTAGTCACTCTCTCATCACTTACCTCAGCCACAACGTAGTCTCAATATGCATTACATTAATGCACACAATGTTCATACTGCTTACTTACCTATAATTCATTCATAGCATTCTATTTCCATGTAAATTACTGCTTTATTTTATTGCTATTTAACTATATTTTATTACGGTGTCCTTAAAGATTTTTTGTTATAGATTTCTTGTTTTATATTTTATGTATGCGCCATGACATCAAGTCAAATTCCTCGTATGTGTGAATCTACCTGGCAATAAACCTGTTTCTGATTCTGATTAAAGAAGCATTGTTGAGTAAACCTTTGTGCTCTGGCAGGTATGACCTGAAGGATACCTCCAGGATCTCTCTCGTTGACCTCCAGCTCATCTCAGCTATGGGCCCCCCCGGTGGCGGGAGGAATGCTGTGACGTCTCGCTTTCTGCGGCACTTCAACATTTTTAGCATCAATGCCTTCAGTGACGACACCATGGTTCGCATCTTCTCCAGCGTGGTGGCCTTCTATCTCAAAAACAATCAGTTCCAACCTGAATATTTCACTATTGGTAACCAAATTGTGACAGCTACAATGGAAGTGAGTCCCAAATACACACAATGACATACCTTCAAATTAGCCTTTTTCATGTGTTAAAGGCTCTTATCAATCATATCTTGTCTGCAATGCTATATTTCTATGTTTTACATTTCAAAAGGTGTATAAGAAAGCTATGGAGAACCTACTTCCAACTCCAGCCAAGTCTCACTACACCTTTAACCTGCGGGACTTCTCACGTGTTATCCAAGGCTGCCTGCTGCTGAAGAAGGACTCTCTGGAGAACAAACGCACCATGATACGCTTGTTTGTCCACGAGGTCTTCAGGGTCTACTATGACCGCCTGGTGGATGACAAAGATCGAGCATGGCTCTACCAGCTGATGAACGGCATCCTCAAAGATCACTTCAAAGAGTCCTTTGACCAGGTGTTTGATCACCTGAAGCAAGGCAGTAGAGTAAGTTAAGCTGCCCCGGATTTGAATAAGATTTTATATCTTTCTTCGATATACTTTGTACAAGCATCTGAATGTTTTAAATGTTCTTGCTTTCTCAGCTGGTTGAGGAAGACATGCGGAATCTTCTGTTTGGTGACTACATGGACCCTGACCTGGAGGATGATGAGCGCTTGTACTCTGAGGTGCCCTCAATGGAAAGCTTTTCTGAAGTGGTGGAGTCGTGTCTTGATGAATACAACCAGATGCACAAGAATCGCATGAATCTCGTCATCTTCCGGTAAACAGCTTTGGTTTTATGAAGTCAACAAACTACATGTGCTATAAGGGCTGATGCTACAGTATTTATTGTTAAATGACAAACAACCCAATGACTTGAACTAAGTTCGGTTAAAATTGAAATTGTGTTTTTATAACGTTGGATGAAAACTTGATCAGCTAAGTAACAAAATGTGACATTATGTAGCTATGTCCTGGAGCACCTGTCCCGTATCAGCCGTGTGTTGAAGCAGCCTGGAGGCAATGCCCTACTGGTGGGAGTGGGAGGCAGCGGGCGCCAGTCCATCACCCGTCTAGCCACATCCATGGCCCACATGACCATGTTCCAGCCTGAGATCTCTAAGAGCTACGGTATCACTGAGTGGAGAGACGACCTCAAGGTCAGCTTTATGGTCTAGGACAGACTTCTGTGTTCTATGTCTTTTTCTGATACCATGTTCATCTCTGTTTGTGATTCTGGAAGATTTAAGAGTCTCTTTGCTCTGAATTATACTTTAGATGCTGCTGAAAAATGCTGGGGTGAAAGGTCAGAAGACAGTGTTCCTGCTTACTGATGCTCAGATCAAAGATGAGGCTTTTCTAGAAGACGTGGACAGTGTCCTGAACACAGGGGAGGTGCCCAATCTGTTTGCCATAGATGAAAAGCAAGAGATCATGGAGGTAGGCGGGCACAAGCTCTAAGCATATCCTTAATAGAGCAATGTATTTACTTTAATGTACTTTGTTATGATTATTAATTTGAGTGAAAAAAAAAAAGAGAATATATATATATAATATATATATTATTGTTGTATGTTTTTGTTTCTGACATGTTCAATAAACTGACAAAAAAAATAAATGTATCCCTCGTAACCATGGAGTCAACATTGGGGGGGACCAAACATTATATTTGAATTTTTGTATATCAGTTAGGCTATATATTGGGGGGGGGGGACAAATTGAGCGTATCTGAATATTGGGGGGGATGTGTCCCCCCAAATGTATATGGCAAATTCGGCCTTGATCCCTCGTATGAAGACCATAATAATGTGACTGTACTATGTTTAATGTTCCCTCTATTTCATCTCTTTCCAGACAGTACGACCCATTGCCCAGGCTGGAAACAAGAATTTGGAGTTGAGTCCTTTGACTCTGTTCGCCTTCTTTGTGGCACGCTGTAGAGAGAACCTTCACATAGTTGTGGCTTTTAGTCCTATTGGAGATGCATTTCGAAACCGCCTGCGCCAGTTCCCATCTCTTATCAACTGCTGTACTATTGACTGGTTCCAGGTAATGTAAAGGCTAATGGATACTATTCTTCTACGGGGTCAGCGGTTTGCTTTTGCATGCTTTCACCTCAATCAGTTTCCTCACAGTCCTTTCTTTCTTGGCTCTGACAGCCATGGCCAGAGGAGGCTCTTGAGCGAGTAGCCAACTCCTTCCTGGAGTCATTGGACATGAGTGAAAATGAGAGGCGGCAGGTCATACCCATCTGCAAAACATTCCATACATCTGCCAAACAGCTCTCAGATAGGTACCTGTGGTCTTTAATAACGTGTACTTTCGGAGGTAAATTATGACAAGAATCTAAACTAAATTGTTTTCACCGCAGATTCCTCTCTGAGCTAGGTCGCCATAATTATGTAACACCCACATCCTACCTGGAGCTGATTGCAGCTTTCCGTCTGCTCCTCTCTGAGAAGAGAGACACTGTCATGAAAGCAAAACAGAGGTATACCAACGGGCTGGACAAACTTGCCTTCGCTGAATCTCAGGTATATGCAGCAGCACCACATTTCTTTCTTTTTTAATAATTTTTTTTATCATATTTTGGTTTAACTCATTTTAAACGTTTCTCTGCAGGTTAGCGAGATGAAGAAGGAACTTGTAGACCTGCAGCCCAAACTGGAACAGGCTACGATAGACAACAACAAAATGATGAAGGTGAATGAGAATCACTTCTTCATTCAAGTCAACCTAGAATACCAGTACATATGAATATACTGAATTAAATTGTTTAATGTTATGACTTTCAGGTGATTGAAGTGGAGTCGGTTCAGGTAGAAGCCAAAAGTAAAGTTGTGCGTGTCGATGAGGAGGCAGCAACTATTAAAGCAAATGCGGCTCAGGCTCTGAAGAATGAGTGTGAGAGTGACCTGGCTGAGGCCATCCCCGCGCTGGAGGCTGCTCTCTCTGCCCTGAACACTCTGAAGGTGAGCTCTCTTCAACTGTTCTTCAATATCAAGTTTAGCCACTCGCAGCTTAGACAGTCAAATAAGTTGAGCTGCTTGTTTTCTTTCAGCCCTCTGATGTCACAATCGTGAAGTCGATGAAAAATCCTCCCTCAGGGGTGAAGTTGGTGATGTCTGCGGTGTGTGTGATGAAGGACATAAAGCCGGATAAGATAGTTGACCCAGCTGGGACTGGCAAAAAGGTTGGACTGAAAAAAGACATTACGAGTGTCTGTCAAAAACATTTTAACATTGCAACTTATCTCAGTAAACACTAACAGTATCTCAATAAATAACATGTTTTCTTTATTGTTAAGGTTTTGGACTACTGGGGCCCAAGCAAGAAGCTTCTGGGTGATATGAACTTTTTACGAGATCTAAGAGAGTATGACAAGGACAATATTCCTGTAAGTGTCAGAAAAGCTACATTGCTAATTTGCTTACACTCACCAGTGCTCTGACAAACGGCTATATTTCTTCTTTGCAGGTCCATGTGATGCAAAAAATCCGCAGTGAGTTCATGACAAACCCTGACTTTGACCCCAGTATAGTAGCAAAGGCCTCCTCCGCAGCAGAGGGCCTGTGCAAGTGGATCCAAGCAATGGAGGTGTACGACAGAGTGGCAAAGGTGCAGTGTTTTCAATAGACTTTTTCCCCCCATGATAACACGTGCATGTTTGCTTCCTCAGGGTGTCTGCGGAGTCTTAAAAAGTATTAAAAGTTGATAAATCAATTTAGCGAAAATTAAGGTTATTAAAAAGTATTAAAGGGCATTTTCCAAGGTATTACATTTTGTAGCTGTATATAGTAAATGTGTCGCCAATATAACCGTTTAAAGCTCGAAGTGGCCAATAGGTCTTAAAATGTATGGAAAGGGTCTTAAAAAAGGTCTTAAAAGGTATTACCTTTGACTTCAGGATTCCTGCATATACCCTGTTCCTGTTCTTTGAAATCAACCGCTCTCTTTGGTTTAAGGTGGTGGCTCCTAAGAAGGCCAACCTGGCGGAGGCGCAGGAGTCCCTGGCTGCGACCATGGCCCTGCTGGACCAGAAGAGAGGTGAGCTGAAGGAGGTGGAGGACCGGCTGGCTGCCCTTCAGAAAACCTTTGAGGAGAAAACAGCGGAGAAGGCCCAACTAGAGTCCCAGGTGGAATCATGTGCCAGGAAGTTGGAGAGGGCTGAGAAACTCATTGGGGGTCTGGGCGGAGAGAAGACCAGGTCAGGAATTGCGTTGTAGTCTCCTTCTTTTATAATCTAATCGTCGCACTTTTTTTTGTGAATGTCTACTTCCTCCTCTATACTCCATTTTCACTTATAATTAAACCACACATAAGTTATGCAAGTAATACATGAACTTTGGTTGAATTCATCACATCTATATATAATGTTAATAACCCAATTTCCTACAACAGGTGATCTGCATACATATTAAATTGTTTATTGTTGGCTGCAAGATAATTAAAGTGTTCCACTCATAACAATGCATGTTTGCACACATGTCTGCACAGCCCTCCACTTTAAAATATAATACACTGTAGTAGCCATATATTGTCATATTGTCATATTTTTGGGTGTAAATACTTGTCTTTAGTATCTTTTTTCAATGCTAACGTATTTCTTAAAAATACTTATTTTGTATTATTCTTATATATTCCTTTTTTACCTACTATTGCAAATTATTTTTCTTAGATTGTTTATGTTCGCACCACCAGATACCAAAGCAAATTCCTTGTATGTGTAAACGTAGCTGGCAATAAACTTGATTCTGATTCTGAACGTGGCTTTAGATGGTCCAAGGCAGCAGACGACCTGCAGAACACATATGACAACCTGACTGGAGATGTTCTCATCTCCGCGGGGGTCATCGCCTATCTGGGTGCCTTCACTGCTGGCTTCAGACAGGACTGCACTATGTCATGGACCAAACTCTGCCAAGTAACACTCCTCCCATTCTTTATCCTACCATTTGATCACATTATCTGGCATATTAAAATACTTATTATATTCTTTTCACCTATTTTGATATGTCTAGTCTAAGAAGGTTCCATCAGCAGATGACTTCTCTCTCAGTAAGACGTTGGGAGATCCCATTAAGATCAGAGCGTGGAACATCGCAGGTCTTCCCAGTGACTCTTTCTCCATTGACAACGGGGTTATTGTCAGTAATTCACGTAGATGGTAAGTCTGTATTGCTGAAAAAATGGTAGTGAAGTTGCTGAAAAATGTGTCAAGAAATTTGAACAATTCCACCTAAGATTTATCTTATCCCTTTTTTCTTAGGCCCTTGATGATTGACCCTCAGGGTCAGGCCAACAAGTGGGTGAAAAATTCAGAGAAAAAAAACAAGCTGAGTGTAATCAAGCTTACAGACGGGGACTACATGAGAACTTTGGAAAACTGTATTCAATTTGGAACACCATTGCTCCTCGAAAATGTAGGGGAGGAGCTGGACCCATCATTGGAACCACTGCTGCTCAAACAAACCTTCAAACAAGGTGCTGTGACTGTGATATTTGGCGGAAAGAAAATACTTGAATGTAAAACTAAAACTGTGAGAGTTCAACATGTATTCTTTGTTTTCACACAGGTGGTGTGGATTGCATCAAGCTGGGGGAGAGTGTGATTGAGTACTCCCGTGATTTCCGTTTTTACATCACCACTAAGCTGAAGAACCCTCACTACCTACCAGAACTGGCCACCAAGGTGTCCCTTCTCAACTTCATGATCACACCAGAGGGCTTAGAGGACCAGCTGCTGGGGATTGTGGTTGCCAAGGAGAGGTAGCAGCCATAAAAAGGACAAGTTGGTATACAAACTGAAATACTTTTGATCACTTCTTTAGAGCACTGTTTCTGCTCTATTTGCTCTGCAGGCCAGAACTGGAAGAGGAGAGATGTGCACTTATCCTGCAGTCAGCTGAAAATAAAAGGCAGCTAAAGGAAATCGAGGACAATATCCTGGAGACACTGCAGTCCTCTAAAGGGAATATCCTGGAAGATGAAAGTGCCATTCAGATTCTGGACTCAGCAAAGATCATGTCCAATGAGATTAGCAAGAAACAGCAGGTGTGGACAATGCACTAATCACAATACCTGGACTGTGAAAATGACTAGTCAGCTCATTGGTAATCTATTTGACCCCTTCACATATTTCCCTAGATTGCAGAGAAGACAGAGATCAAGATAGCAGAGTCGAGAGAGGGTTACAGAGCCATCGCCAAGCACTCCTCCATCCTGTTCTTCAGCATCGCCGATCTGACCAACATAGACCCCATGTACCAGTACTCTCTCAGCTGGTTTGTCAACCTCTACATTAACTCCATACATGACAGGTGAGTAATGCACATGAACTGTGTTCTGCAGTGTCCCAAAAAACGATTACATTGATTAGCCATAGCCCCACCTCTGCTGCTCACTGCTGTAGCATGGTCAGTAGCTACTGCTAGTGCTACTGCTACTGACCATGCTACAGATGTTAGTGCAAAATCTACAGCTCCTCTACCACAACCATCAGCAACAAGCGGACATGCAGAATGACATAAACTACATGTTGCTAAATCTACCGTGGGGCATAAACATAAGGGCAACCATGGCAACCATGCTCGGGGCTCTTCTTCGCTGCTTTTGGTGTATTTTGTGGCAGAAGTACAGCGCCACTTACAGGCCCGGCATATGTACTACAGCGTCTCCAGCGGGTCAAGCGGTCTCGTGCGGAAGTACAGCGCCACTTACAGGCCCGGCATATGTACTACAGCGTTTCCAGTGGTCTTGTGTGAACGGACACGTTAAATGAGCCGAATGCGTGTGAACGGAAGACTTTTTTGATTTTGCGTTTGCGCTCCCATGTAAATGGGGTCTAAGACTTAAATACATGCATCTCCACTGTTATACACCAACACAAACCTGAATATCATATAAGAATTACACGTTTAACAATGAGGAGGTTTATTGCAGCAACTCCCTGTGAGTCTATTTCAATGTCAGGCTCAGTTATTGTCTCAGTCAGAATTGTTGTCAATGTGAATTGGAAGAGATTATTGACAATGCTAGTGGTACCCACGCCCACAAACTGGCAACTTTCCTTCCAAATCATCCCTAATGTTTGGTCAATTCAGTTAACCCCACAGAAACCTTATGATTAAGGACAAATTGAAAGCAAACAGATTTTTTCAGATAAGGCTTATACTGTACAACTTTTAGGAGTGAGTCTGTTTTCATCTGAAGCTTTCCTCGTTTTGTTTTTTGTTCATCAGTAACAAGTCCAAGATCCTGGAGAGGAGGCTTCGGTACCTGATTGATCACTTCACCTACAACCTGTACTGTAACGTCTGTCGCTCTCTGTTTGAGAAAGACAAACTCCTCTTCTCCTTCCTGCTCTGCAACAATCTGCTCCTGTAAGTGTAAAAGCTACTAGAGAAGTATTGATTAGATTAATTAGATCATTGTAATTTGATTTCTCAGATACAGATATACTATGTGAATATTTGCTATCCTTTTCTATTTCCCCTCAGAGCGAAAAAGGAGATTTTATACTCTGACTTCATGTTCTTTCTGACCGGAGGAGTGGGCCTGCAGAACACCATCGCTAACCCCGACCCCAGCTGGCTGCAGGACAAGAGCTGGGATGAGATCTGCAGAGCCAGTGACCTGTCTGGCTTACAAGGAATAAAGTAAAAAGCATCACTCAGTAGGGCTGCTCGATTATGGCAAAAATCATAATCTCGATTATTTGGGTCAATAATTGGTATCACGATTATTAAAAACGATTATCCATTTACTTTGAAAACATCAATTTATTGGAGAAAAAACATTTGAACAGTATGTTTTTAACAGTTGATTAACCTGAACTTTAAGTATAACTAAACTGAAAAACCAATAAAAAAAAATTAATAACAAAAATAATCGTTATATTTCGATTACGTTGTTTTCATAATCGTTGCAAGCCATAATCGTAGTTGCGATTAAAATACGATTAATTGAGCAGCCCTATCACTCAGTCAACCAAAAATGCTTTTTCCGGCTTTTGTCTAGTGCTAAACTGTCCTGCTTTAACACACACAAAATCCTAATGGAGTGAATGTATTATTTATTCCACAGAGAGGCTTTCATCAAAAACCCAGAAGACTTTAAATCTATTTATGACAGCAAAGAGCCCAGCAACACTCCTCTGCCCGCTCAGTGGTGTCAGAAACTAAATGACCTGCATATGATGATCATTGTTCGCTCTCTCAGACCTGATAAGATCGTTCCAGCTGTCATTAAATATGTGACTGGCAAACTCGGGAAGAAATTCGTCCAGCCCCCTCCATTTGACCTGTGTAAGAGCTACCTGGACTCCAACTGCACCGTCCCACTCGTATTTGTGCTGTCTCCAGGAGCTGATCCCATGGCTAGTAAGTAACAAGATTGACTATCAAGGTTCTTTATAATGCTTCAGAAATAACAACATCCCTTCACAGGCTTGCTGAAGTTCGCCACTGACAAGAACATGGATGGAGCCAAGTTCCAGTCCATCTCTCTGGGGCAGGGGCAGGGACCCATCGCTGCCAAAATGATAACCACAGCCATGCAGGACGGGACGTGGGTGTGTCTGCAGAACTGTCACCTGGCCGTCTCCTGGATGTCCAGCCTCGAGAAAATCTGTGAGGACTTCAGTCCAGCAACATGCCACCCAGAATTCCGCCTTTGGCTCACAAGCTACCCTTCAGCCAAGGTAAAGTGCATCTCATTTGGCTCTTGTGTATACACTTAAAACCTTAAATAGAAAGACAGAGATTCATTTGCATTATAGTCCTAAAGAAACAACATTCTTTCTGATATCAGTTTCCAGTAACCATCCTTCAGAACGGGGTGAAAATGACAAATGAGCCTCCTACTGGACTCCGGCTCAACCTGCTGCAGTCTTACGTGTCAGATCCTCTGTCTGACTCAAACTTCTTCAATAACTGCCCCAACAAGGAGGTGGTGAGTGTTATATATGCGATTATTTTGCATTTGTTTATTGAAAAAGGGTTGGCTTGTGCTTTGAAGGACATCTCATACTCTTCCTTCACCAGATCTGGGAGAAGCTGCTGTATGGACTGTGCTTCTTCCATGCTCTTGTTCAGGAGAGGAAGAAGTTTGGTCCACTGGGCTGGAACATTCCCTATGGCTTCAACGAGTCTGACCTGCGTATGAGCATCAGACAGCTACAGGTATTCATTCAGAGTTTCAGTGCTCACGTTTACATCACAACATTCTTAAAGTGCATTTGATTTATCTCTCCATTTAGCTGTTTGTGAATGAATACGACGAGGTGCCCTTTGAGGCCATAACCTACCTGACCGGGGAGTGTAACTATGGCGGCCGCGTGACAGACGACTGGGACAGGAGGCTCCTGATGACCATCTTGGCTGACTTCTACAACAATGACATCATTGAGAAACCTCGCTACCCCTTCTCACCTAGCGGGGAATACTTTGCCCCACCTAAGTCTGTCTATGATGACTACCTTGAGTTTATAAAGGTACAGGGCTCGAGATAACACACACAAACAAGATAAATATATGTATTTGATTTTTTTGATATCTTTTGTGTGTTCTAGGAGCTTCCTCTCAGCCAGCATCCAGAGGTGTTTGGGATGCATGAAAATGTAGACATTTCTAAAGATCTCCAGCAAACAAAGCTGCTGTTTGATTCGCTGATACTCACCCAGGGTGGAGGAGCTAAGGGAGGGGCTAGCAGTGGGAGTGACAACACACTGTACGACATAGCGAATGACATCCTTACTAAGGTATAAACCACTCAATCTCCTTTTTAAAGCACTTGAAATGTTTGGCTCTATGAAACCTGATGTACTTATATGATTCTGTTTTCTTCAAGGTTGTGTTTTCCTGGTCGAATGTACTTATTGTAAGTCGCTTTGGATAAAAGCGTCAGCTAAATGCAATGTAATGTAAAGGGGACCTATCATGCAAAATGCACTTTTGTACATCTTTTATACATGAATATGTGTCCCCGGTGTGTCAGGGAACTCACCAAGTGTCAGAAAACACAACCCTCTCTCTTTTCCTCCATACCCAAATCTCTAAAAACGGGCTGCAGCGGATCTGATACAGACTGATACAGATTTGAAACGGGGAGCTCCGCCTATATGGGCAACTCTCCACCTATCAGGGGAATGAGAGGTTGCCGTGGCATGGTAACAGCATGGTAACAGCATGGTAACAGCATGGTAACAGCATGGTAACAGCATGGTAACAGCATGGTAACATGACGCTTGTGCCTATCTGTGGCAAATGAGCTGCAGCTGACCTCGCCCCCCTCCTTTGCAGGGGGGCGTGGTCAGCTGCAGCTCATTTGCCACAGAATCAGCCCTTGCAAAAACAGGGCTGGAATACAGCAAATAGAGTATATAGGTATGGCCCTACAATATATTATTCAAATATAGCATGATAGGTCCACTTTAAATTAAACTTTTCTGGATGTATGGTTCATATTTTGGAAAGAAATGCATAGGTGTAGCTTTTCACTAATGTGCCAATATCGGTTGGAGTTTCCTTTACCTTGATTCTAACCTACATTCACTCAGCTGTATATTCTTGACTAACAGACTTGCTTATTTCCTCCAGTTTCCAGCTAACTTTGACACCGAAGCAGCTCTCTTGAAGTTCCCAGTGCAGTACGAGGAGAGTATGAACACTGTGCTCGTCCAAGAGATGGAGCGTTATAACACGTATGAACAAACACCTCACTACAGACAGTTAAAACACACACACATCATCACCTATATGACTTGACGGCTGTTTCTGATTCCTCCCTCGCTCTCTCAGGCTGTGTGGGACGATCCGTCTCAGTCTGCAGAATCTGTTGAAGGCCATCAAGGGTTTGGTGGTGATGGATGCGGAGCTGGAGGCGGTGGCTGGCAGTTTGGCAGTTGGAAAGTTCCCAGAGAAATGGGCAAAGTACTCATACCCCAGCCTCATGCCATTGGGTAGCTACATTACTGATTTTCTCTTAAGACTCAAGTTTTTGCAGGTGAGAAAACTTAAAAAATGATAATTTAGACTAACAGGAGATAGGACTTTGAGTGTTTACACCTATAGTTTCCCTTTGTGTGTCTAGGATTGGTACGACAGCAGCAAACCCAACGTGTTCTGGCTCTCGGGCTTCTTCTTCACCCAGGCCTTCCTAACTGGGGCTATGCAGAACTACGCCAGGAAATACCACATCCCCATTGACCTGCTAGGCTTTGATTTTCAGGTCAAAAAACACACGCTTTGTGATCTCTGTCACCACCTTAGAGATCTTCTTATTTACCTAAAAGTCTCTGGTTTTGTTTTCATGATTTTATATCACAGGTTCTCACTATTGATGAGTCAGACACATCGCCTGAGGATGGCGTTTACGTTAATGGAATGTTTCTGGATGGAGCTCGATGGGATAAAGAAAGGTTAATATTCATACATGTTTTTTTTATTTTAAATATTTAACTATCATTGTTTTAAAGACGTGCAGGGAAACTTGATAAACCTTACCTATTGTTTGTCTCCCTAACACCAGTGGAGTTCTAGCTGAGCAGCAGCCCAAAGTCCTGTTTGATGTGGTGCCAATCATCTGGGTCAAACCCAGTAAGTACATTTCCATATTTTGCACATTGCATGTCAATTGAAATGCCTGCCATCCATGTCTTCAGGTGTCTATTTCCAACCCATAATTGTAAAAGTGTAACTTTTTATTTTGCTGTTCATCCTGACTTTGCTTTTTCTTTTTGCTTCCTTTGCCCCCATGCAGCTAAAAATAAGAGCTTTGATCAGACTCAGTTGTATGTCTGCCCTCTCTACAAGACCAGTGAGAGGAAGGGCACCCTCTCCACCACAGGCCACTCCACCAACTTTGTCATTTCCATGGTGTTGCCAACAAACAATCGCCCTCAACACTGGATCAAGCGTGGTGTGGCTATGCTCTGCCAACTTGATGACTGAATCAGACAACAAACTATTTAAGACTCTTCACAGTGACACTTTTAAAACTTTGATGACTTTTCTTGATTGTCTGTCCCTTTATAATGCAACATTAAAGATACCATCTGTTTGTGACCTAGAGAGTATTTGTTTGAAAGTTATGGATAAAGCGTTTTTGTGGAAGCTATGGGAGGTATGAGGGACTTGTGCTTGTTACGCTTTATAGTTCAAACGCTCTATTAGTTGCTGCTACGAAATAAAGATTGTGACAGTTTTCTGACACGATTTCACAAAAAAAAGAGAAAGAAACTGAAAACACTTAAATTCACCTGGATGTGCATTAGACACATTGTGACATTTCAATAAACAAGGTATACAAGAGTGCACTGCATCGGTTTTATTATATTAAACAAACGTTAGAAACATGCAGCCATTAAATTCACATCTTCGACATTTTTACAAGTTTGTTCCACATGTTGGCCAACAGCAACTCTATTCTGATCCTGATTCAAGCACTCCACTTGTGCCGTTGAGTTTTACACCGGTTCGAAACATCCTTTTGTCGTCATCGAGCTGGTTACATTTACAACATTGCTTGTGGAACACATCTGCACTCATGTACTGTCACACTAATGTGACCACAACCCAAATGAAAAGAAAGCTTCCTAAAATGTAAACCAGATGGCCTATAATGAGAACCAGGAAAACTGGTTACTAGGAATGATGATTTTCTAAGTTGCTGCTGCTATAAAAACGTCACTATCTTGCTTGTCAGCTGCAAATATTCTTTACCTTTCTTGCCAATTAAGGCATTTGTTCCTTTTCTAAAGTGTCCACCTGCTTCTGTTTGTCACCTGCTTGTCTCTTGGTTCCTCATTGGGAGCTGATGAAGCCATATCTAGGAGCTTATATTATTTAATAGTTATCCATTTATTTTATTGTTCTTTTTTGTTTATAGTAAATCTTCCTTTTAATTCTTACTTAAGTTTATCAAATAAGTTGTACTATGCCTCTGTTTTATAAATGCAGCCTTTGGGCACCGGGGGATGGGAGAACTGCTCATTATAAATATGGGAAACAGGTGGTAGTGGGCGGCGCATCCGGCCTACAGTGTATGGTGTTTTACCATCGGGTAAGAACGAAGAAAAATGCTTGTATGTGTATAATAAATTGCACTAAAACGACTTTTGCTCGGACCTTGATTTTTACCCATGCGTAAGATTCGCTGACGGGTGCCTCAGCGGCACTTTGCTTTGAGTTATATTTCTTTCTTATATTTTTATGATTTTGGCCGCTTTATAGTAAAAAACCAGCCTCATGAATGTATACTATTTTTTGGAAACCCCTTTTCTGTGGATGGCCCGCTGCAAAGAAGGATAAAAGGATGTCCTTATTGAGAATTCCGTGAGTCGCTTGGAAAGACAAAATAGAGGAAGACAGACGCCGGCCTCGTTTTTGAAATGTTTGTACGCGAGGCAGTGCGCGTGGGACTCGTGAGTAAACAAGAGGAATAAATGAATGAGTCGTGCTTGTTGTGATTTAATGGATGCATACGCAAATGAACATATGAGCCAAACGTGTCAAATGTTATGGATGGAATAATTAAACTCTTCATCAAATAAATAAGGACGTCTGTGCAAGCCAGTTGTATGGATTAACGCAGACGCAATCTGATCAAAGGAATTGAATACAATTTTAAAAGCAACTCTCAAGTAAAAATGACTGAACCTAAAACTGTCATGGAGGCCACACCAGAGGGAAACTCGGAGTGTGCACAAGAATACTAAATGAAACTAAAGCCCTGCTCACTGACGGTGGAAATGTTGATTGTATGGATATGTTTAAAACTGCTGTGGATGAATTCAATAAAGTGCATAATTCTCTCCAACAACTCTTATCTGAAGAGGAAAAGGACATTGATGTAACAGACTGGTATGAACCCAGAATTATGAACTTTAATTACTTTGTAAAGGAAGTTAAAGCATGGAGAAGAGAACGTATTGCACAACTAAATTGATCCACTGACTATCTCCAATGCCTCAAAAAGGACTACAACATCAAGGCTAAGTTAGCATCAGCAGAAAGGGCAGCTCTGGAGGCTAAGTCTGCTGCTTTAACCCTCTGGAGTCCAAGTGCACATTTATTTACGTATTTAATCATAGATTTTCGCTTGTAAGGAGTAGAAATATGATTCAGATATCTGCGGAATCGCTAGAATCGTAGCTTTTCAAGAGTATCTCCTGTGAGACTATACCCAGGGCACAGCAGCCAATATTGCCGCTCAAAGCAGCTTGATTCGGCGTTACACTGTGTGTGATTGGTGGATTTGTGTGTCAGTCAAGGACATCTCGGCCGGCCGGAAGCCATGTCGGTCTGAAATGACCAATGGACACTCTAGAAATCTAAGGACCTACCCACCAATAAAAAAACATATAACAGGTGTCTCCCATCAGTTTCAGTCTTTTAGTCTGTGAAGAAGATAGAGAAAATGGCTCGAAGGAACTTTACCGTTGCGGACGCGCTGGATTTTATTTTCGCGAGCGCCAGTGAAGAAGATGGCTCATCAGAACCTGAAGGCTTCGACTCTTCTGAAGAAGAAGAATATAGGGACAGCAGGGATCCATTTGAGAATGGGTAAGTGTAAATATAACTTGTAGTGCATTTGCCATTTTGTGAGGAGTACCGCGAAAATGAACAATGGATTTATCAACCTTTTTATTTTCCCCTCATGAACTTTTTCTCGGGACAAAATAGACTCTTGATTAGTAAACGTTTACTCTGTGTAAATGTTATTTATGTGTAAAGTTTAAACGTTATTTTGGCATGTATAAGTAAGGTTACATGTGTAGATGAATAAAAATAATCCTTTATTCGTCCCACAACGGAGACATTTATAGACATGTATTTTATTTGATCATACTGTTCTGTACAGATGAGACTTTGTCATAGACTTATTTACATGTGTGTCTGTGATAAACTTTATTTATGTGTAAACGTTATTTTGGTGTGTATAAGTAAGGTTACATGTGTAGATGCATGAGATAATCCTTTATTTGTCCCACAACGGAGACATTTAATTTATTTATGTGTGCTTGCCATTTGTGGGGAGTGCTATGTAGTACAATACGTGTGTGTGTGTGTGTGTTGTCCCACAATTTGTATTTGTTTTACAGAGGTTTCACAGCTGCCTGGGCCTAGCGGCCCACAGATTTATCCAGGAGCCTCCAGCTGTGCCTGCCACCATGTTGAGATCTGGGGCCTTCACCACTGCCATCCCCACCAAGGACTAGCGGACCAGCATCACGACAGCTGCCTGCGACGAGGTCAAGATATACACCTCAGCTCCGCCACAGCCATCACCATCAACCCGGACAGCAAAGAGGTCTCGTAGAGCACACGTACCTCCCACACAGCCACCAGCTGCCCATGCACCATCACCCCCACCTGCACAGCAGCCAGCTCCACTGTCTTGGAAGACAGGCGAAGACCCTGACACTGCTCCCCCTGTCTCCAGGTTTCAACCTGCTCGCACACCCGGGCCACAGCTCAGCTCAACAGTATCAAACAAACCCCTTGACCTGTTCAAGCTGTTCTTCAGTGCACTAACAGTACAGACACTCTGTACCAACACAAACAAGCGGGCTGCACAGGAGATGGGAAAGGGTAAAACCTACAAATGGACTGACTTGACTGTAGAGGATTTCTATAAATACATGGGGCTGCTGAAACTGGACAATGTATTGGACTACTGGAGGAAGGATCATTTTGTCAGTGTATAATGAATAGTTGGTTGAAGGAAAAAAAGTTCTGATGTTCAATATTGTAAATAGTGAGATTTTGCAGTTATATTTATATACATTGTTAGTATTATAATAAATTGTTGGTTGAAAAAAAAAATTATAATGCTCAATTATTTTCTTTTTTTACACATCACATGAACCTTGTTATGTATTATGAAGTCATTATTCAGTCCTGATATATCTCAGTCCCTGCTGTGGTGAAAGTAGAGTGATTGACAGCTGTTTTACTCAGAATTCGAATTTATAAAATTTCATTTTAGACATGAATAACACATTTATATACAGTGTAATTCAAATATTTCACTGCTTTTGTGATCCTAAGACTTTGGTAACCAAATCTAAAACACCAAAACAATTCGATCACATGAGTAAATTTGTGTTTTCACAAGAGTTTAAGATTTTCCGAAAATCGGATGTCAAATTTTAAGCTTTTGAGCTACTTATCTCATCAAACAGTGCTCTAAGTTGAGTAATTTGCATATATAGCAATACTAGAGATTGTCCTGAACATTTTGATATGTAACACATGGGTGCCATTTTAGAAGAAATACATTTAAAAGGTGATTTAAGTAAAAATCGAGAAAATACCCTTAGACTCCAGAGGGTTTTTAAAGGACATGCATGCACTGTGACTGGAGGAAACAATTCTCAAATCAAAAATGGAAAAGGTGGAGATGGAATCACAGATTGCAGCAGCAGATGCCAAAATGAGGGTACTTCTCAGCCCAAATGAGGATGCTATGAATGCTTATTTAGATGAAGTGTGGAGCAAACAGACACTTCTGTCTTGGAATTTATTGAAGTAGCTGCTGTACCTAAAACTCCACTACATAGAACAATTGTGGATTTCCATAAAATATCTCTGCAAGCAAAAGGTGCATCAAGACCACAACCGGAAAATCCTGCAATCAACACTTTTACTAAGGAAAACCTCAACACACTGGCACCGAGACAAAAGGACATAGCTGATCTCATGATAATGCAACAAAATCTATCCCTGCTACCTAAGAGAGAGGTGCCTGTGTTTAATAGTGACCCACTCTCTTATCAACCTTTCATGCATGCATTCAGATACCTAATTGAAGAAAAAACTAGTAACTACCAGGACAGGCTCTACTTTCTTGAACAGTTTACATCAGGTCAAGCCAGAGATCTGGTCCGTAGCTGTCTTCACACAAAGAGAATATTCAGAGGCCATGCAACTTTTAAAGAGACATTATGGAAATGAAATGAAAATTGCAAATGCTTACTGGATAAGGCACTCAACTGGACAGCTATCAAGCCAGATGATGGAAAATCTCTTCATGCCTACTCACTATCTCATACTACTACTACTACTCATTACCTAAGCGAATGCCTTAACGCCATGCAGGACTTGGAGTACATGGATGAGCTAGACGTCCAGGGCCGGCCCTCGGCATAGGCAGTATAGGCGAATGCTAAGGGCGCATCAACCCATAGGGGGCGCCGAAAATGTAAAAAAAAACAACACAATTTCCCGATTTTGGATCAACAAAGTACATCTTATTATCTTATACTAACAGAACTACGCCTATATTGCGTACAGCGCTCATAAACTATGGCACACACACCCCCCCCCCCCAAAAAATCAAGTTGAACTACCCCAGTCCCAGTAAAAACCAGAGGTTTATGTGAAATTGTTCTTTTTTTTAAATAATGGTTTTAGTGTGCAATTATAGGTTTTAATTTTGTATTTGTATTCATTTAAAAT